TCCTTCCTTACCTACCCCACCCTCATGATGAATGATAGCCGCCCACCCTACAATGGAGTGATGATACCCCTCCCCCCTCTTCCCACGATGGATTGAAACTTTCCAGGGACCCAGGTTCCGCCGTTTTGTCCCAGAGATAGATCCCAGCGTTTTCTTGACCTCCCAGCCAGCGTATTTGTTAAAGTATGTTTTTGTGTTGAAATTGGCGCGGGTAAGCGGGGTAAGTGGGGTAAGCGGGGGTAAGCTTTATTAATGGCAAACTTCAGCAGTGGCCGTAGGACGAGTCTATTTCATGGCAGGGGACCGTGAAATAGATTGTTCCATTCAAGCTGCGTGCTGGGTTCGATAGATCTGTTTTCTCTGCATGGCCGCGGATGTAGACTGTTCGAACTTCGTTGTTTGGTGAAATAGATTTTTTTGTGTGTTCAATAGATTTTTGTGTTCTGTTTGGTGAAATAGATTTTTTGTGTGTTCAATAGATTTTTGTGTTCTGTTTGGTGAAATAGAATTTTGTGTTCTGTTTGGTGAAATAGATTTTGTGTGTGTTCTGTTTGGTGAAATAGATTTTTGTGTTCTGTTTGGTGAAATAGATTTTGTGTGTGTTCTGTTTGGTGAAATAGATTTTTGTGTTCTGTTTGGTGAAATAGATTTGTGTGTTCTGTTTAGTGAAATAGATTTGTGTGTGTTCAATAGATTTTTATGTTTTGTTTGGTGAAATATATTTTGCATTCTGTTTGGTGAAATAGATTTTTTGTGTGTTCAATAGATTTTTGTGTTCTGTTTGGTGAAATAGATTTTTTTGTGTGTTCAATAGATTTTTGTGTTCTGTTTGGTGAAATAGATTTTTTGTGTGTTCAATAGATTTTTGTGTTCTGTTTGGTGAAATAGAATTTTGTGTTCTGTTTGGTGAAATAGATTTTGTGTGTGTTCTGTTTGGTGAAATAGATTTTTGTGTTCTGTTTGGTGAAATAGATTTTGTGTGTGTTCTGTTTGGTGAAATAGATTTTTGTGTTCTGTTTGGTGAAATAGATTTGTGTGTTCTGTTTAGTGAAATAGATTTGTGTGTGTTCAATAGATTTTTATGTTTTGTTTGGTGAAATATATTTTGCATTCTGTTTGGTGAAATAGATTTTTGTGTGTTCAATAGATTTTTATGTTTTGTTTGGTGAAATAGATTTTGCATTCTGTTTGGTGAAATAGATTTTTGTGTTCTATTTGGTGAAATATATTTTCGTATCATTTTTTTGTTATTAGCTAAATATATTTGCTATTTTCTCCATTTTTTTTGGGAAAATAGATTTGTATATTTTCTGGGTAGTTAAATAAAATAAATTGTTACGTTTTCTTTGGTTGTTACGTTAAATAGATATTTATATCAAAGGCATGACAGAGGATCACTTATTACATCTACGTGTGGTCTAGTGGTGGTCTACTAGAGAGACCACAAACATAGGTGGCAGTCAGTTAGAGTGACCAATAGATAAAGAGGTGGTCAGTTAGAGTGACCACTAGATTAAGTGGTGGTCAGTTAGAGTGACCAATAGATGAAGAGGTGGTCGGTTAGAGTGACCACTAGATTAAGTGGTGGTCGGTTAGAGTGACCACTGAATAAAGTGGTGGTCAGTTACAGTGACCACTAGATTAAGTGGTGGTCAGTTAGAGTGACCACTGGATTAAGTGGTGGTCAGTTAGTGTCAGCGAAAAGCGTTGTGTGGTGAAGCGAGCAGATCTATGACCACTAATGTGTGTAAGTGCTGGCTTACTTCTCCATTGTGTGGAGCAAATATGTAAATATTCGCGTGATATCCACTGTCCCAACATACAGACCATCATATGTGATTCATGAGCTGACTGTCCCAACATACAGACCAACACACACTGTTGTAAAGGGAGGAGGAAGATTGTGTTATGTGAGTCATGAGCTGGTAGTTGTATGTTTACTTGTTTAATGTATGTATGTTTATGTGTATGTATTTGTGTATGTTATATACATTTTTTCTTCTGTATGGTATGTTTATATTGAGTTTATAAGCGAATGTGTATGTCACTTTTGGCCAGCATATAGTGTGTGTAGTTGTGTTTGGTGTGTGTATGTGTGTGAGCGTGTGAGTGTGGGTAGATGTGTGAATGTGTGTGTATGTTGCTGTGTGGTGTGTGTACGTGTGTGAGCATGTGAGTGTGGGTAGATGTGCAAATGTGTGTGTATGTTGTTGTGTGGTGTGTGTATGTGCGTGTATGTTGCTGTGCAGTGTATGTACGTGTGTGAGCGTGTGAATGTGGGTAGATGTGCGAATGTGTGTGTATGTTGCTGTGTGGTGTGTATGTGGTGTCTGAAATCCCTGCCCCTCTGTGAGAGCTAGAGAGTATCTCCAATAAAAGCTGGCACACAAAAGCGGCATAACTCTCGGTGATCTATTCTATCGCTCACAGTGGCCGCCCCTCACAAATCTGTTCTTTTATAACCCGGAGATCGCTGCGATTGTATGTATATTTCACAACACACAGCCTCGAGTAGGGTACTCAACAGATGAACACAGCTGGGGGGGGGGACATCAGATCAGCTGGTTGGTACAGCTGGTGGGGGGGGGGGGGACATAAGATCAGCTGGGTTGTGTTGGTGTTAAAGCCGGTAGTACCTCGAGAGTGTGGGATGGCAGTGTGGGCCTGTCTTACACCGTTTGTGTGGGGGTGGTCGTACGATATACAGCGAATGTGCAGACATCCTGCCCCTAATGTGCAGACATCCTGATTGCCATAATGTGCAGAACATCCTGCCCCTAATGTGCAGACATCCTGACCCTAATGTGCAGACATCCTGATTACCATAATGTGCAGAACGTGCACACCAGTCATGACATTTGCAAGCTTCTCTCGTTTGATGACGCTCATTAAACTTATTTTTCCCCCGCGTAAAGGCTGATTTATTGCGTGTATTCAAAACGAAATTTTCAACTTTGATCTTGTGGATCGATTTCATGCACGGGACTGATGCATTTGTTTAACAGGGGGAGGGGCCAACAGCTGTCACTCATGTTTGTCCTATTGGCTGTTTACTCAACCATTGACCCGTATCTGCACTAACCAACACACCCATTTACCTACCCAACACACCCATTTACCTACCCAACATAACTATTTACCTATCCAACACACCCATTTACCTATCCAACACACCCTATTACCTACCCAACACACCCATTTACCTATCCAACACACCCATTTACCAACCAAACACACCCATTTACCTACCCAACACACCCATTTACCTACCCAACACACCAATTTACCTACCCAACACACCAATTTACCTACCCAACAGACCCATTTACCTACCCAACACACCCATTTACCTACCCAACACACCCATTTACCTACTCAACACACCAATTTACCTACCCAACACACCCATTTATCCACCTATCTGAAACCCGTTTCCATCTCTGCATACTCAGACACCTATACATCCCACCTTTGAATACTGATTTTTTTAAAAACTGGTTAGCCAAGTCTAAAAGGGTCGTGTATACAGTATACGTTCTATAAAGTAGCAAGCTCACGTGTATCAACATGTTTTAAGTGTCATTCTGTTGTGACTCATGTTGCAACATCTTGAAACTAATGAACTATCAACATGTAACTGCCATATCATATAAATATCCTATCAACATGTAACTACCCTATCAACATGTAACTGCCATATCATATAAATATCCTATCAACATGTAACTACCCTATCAACATGTAACAACTACCCTATCAACATGTAACTACCCTATCAGCATGTAACAACTACCCTATCAACACGTAACAACTACCCTATCAACCTGTAACAACTACCCTATCAACATGTAACAACTACCCTATCAACATGTAACAACCACCCTATCAACATGTAACAACTACCCTATCAACATGTAACAACTACCCTATCAACATGTAACTACCCTATCAACATGTAACAACTACCCTATCAACATGTAACAACTACCCTATCAACATGTAACAACTACCCTATCAACATGTAACAACTACCCTATCAACATGTAACAACTACCCTATCAACATGTAACAACTACCCTATCAACATGTAACAACAACCCTATCAACATGTAACTACTACCCTATCAACATGTAACTACCCTATCAACATGTAACAACCAATTGCCCTATCAACATGTAACTACCCTATCAACATGTAACAATTACCCTATCAACAAGTAACAACTACCCTATCAACATGTAACTACCCTATCAACATGTAACTACCCTATCAACATGTAACAACTACCCTATCAACATGTAACAACTACCCTATCAACATGTACCAACTACCCTATCAACATGTAACTACCCTATCAACATGTAACTACCCTATCAACATGTAACAACTACCCTATCAACATGTAACAACTACCCTATCAACATGTAACAACTACCCTATCAACATGTAACAACTACCCTATCAACATGTAACTACTACCCTATCAACATGTAACAACTACCCTATCAACCTGTAACAGCCCTATCAACATGTAACTACCCTATCAACATGTAACTACCCTATCAACATGTAACTACTACCCTATCAACATGTAACTACCCTATCAACATGTAACAACTACCCTATCAACATGTAACAACTACCCTATCAACATGTAACAACTACCCTATCAACATGTAACAACTACCCTATCAACATGTAACTACTACCCTATCAACATGTAACAACTACCCTATCAACCTGTAACAGCCCTATCAACATGTAACTACCCTATCAACATGTAACTACCCTATCAACATGTAACAACCACCCTATCAACATGTAACAACTACCCTATCAACATGTAACAACTACCCTATCAACATGTAACAACTACCCTATCAACATGTAACAACTACCCTATCAACATGTATCTACCCTATCAACATGTAACAACTACCCTATCAACATGTAACAACCACCCTATCAACAGTTAACCCACGTGTCCTCCCCTCCCCAGGCTGACCCGGGTCAACGCCCTGATCCTGAACCTGTGTGTGGCCGACCTGCTTGTCATCTGCTTCTCCTGCGTCACACAGGTGGTCTGGGAACACCTGGACCGGCACTGGCTGGCCGGTGACGTCATGTGCCGCATCATCAAGATGTTCCAGATCTTCGCGCTGTGTGCCAGCACCAACATGCTCGTGGTCATCGCAGTGGACAGGCACCAGGCCATCACCGCCCCGCTCAGGAAACAGTTCTCGGTAAACACGGGGGAGTGAGGAGGGGGGGCGGTGTGGGGGGGGGGCGGTGTGGGGGGGGGGGGGCGGTGTGGGGGGCGGTGTGGGGGGGCGGTGGGGGGGGTGGACTGGTGGGGGGGGGGTATTGTCCACATCAACTGGGACAGGCACCAGGCCATCACCGCCCCGCTCAGGAAACAGTTCTCGGTAAACACGACTCGACTGGTGAGGGGGAGCTGAACTGGTGGGGGGGGGGGGTGGACTGGTTGGGGGGTTGAATGGTGGGGGTGGGGTGGACTTGTGGGGGTGGACTGGTGGGGCGAGAGGGTGGACTGGTGGGGGTGGATTGGTGGGGAGTAGGGGAGGCTACAACAACTAGGACGGGAGGGGGAGGCTGTCCACGACAATAGAGGAGGAAAATATAAACAACATCAGAGACTTGTGTGCTCTCCTCAACAACTGGGGGGGGGGGGGAATCGCCCACTTCTACAGAGACGGTGAGTGGGGGGGGGGGTTTCCACATCCACTGGGACATGTTAGGTGGGGCTGCAGGGGACTGTCGACATCAACAGAAATCTAAAGAGTATCTAGTACAGTATAGGGGGAGGGGGGATTGTAAAGACAAAACATGTTAATCAACATCTGTTAAAAAATGAAATAAAAATGGATGGACCATACTAGTCAAACTGTTGTGTCTACTGCCACATTGGTCCGGCCATGTTGTGCTCACATTTGTCAGCTGTCCACGTGTAGACTGCCGCTGTTTGTCACGAGTGCTCGTGCATAAAGCCGTGAAGATGAGCCGGTCATTAAAGCCGGTCATTAAAGCCGGTCATTAAAGCCAACCAGGAAACACAACCCGTAAATTAAAATGAAAAACGCGGCGAAGAAGGGGGTCAGTAAAACCAGAGTTAATGGACCTGCCTCTTGCGGACACATGAACACAAGAAACATATCTCTAGGTCCCGTGTTTGTCTTTAGCCTTAGTGTTTCGCGGTACTCATCTATTGGGCTGAGGGTGGGGATAGGCTCAGGGGTGGGGGATAGGACCAGGGGTGGGGGAAACGTAAAAAATACATTCGTTTGAATTTCTATTTCGTTTTGAAAGTTCTAGACGTGTTATTCAAGGGGGATTTCATGCTGATGATAGCAGTGTGGGATAACTTAACATTCCTGAATCATGGAGAGGGGAGCTAACTGATGAAGGAAGCAGAGTAAAGCGTGGTAACTCTAGACAACACAGAGATTACGGAACCTTCCATCTTTAATGTGCTGTGGTAGGACAGAGCATTAGTGGAGATGATGGATGTGGCCATTACGACACGATTTGATAGAAAGTTAGGCATTGGTTGAGTCGGGTATAAGAAACTCAATATTTACTACACTCTCTCTCTACTGATCTAATTACACTAAAACTGTATACATTTTAACCCCATCCAACATATGATCTAATTACAGAAAAAGTTACATATTTTAACCCCATCACACATATGATGTAATTACACAAAAAGTTACATATTTTAACCCCATCACACATAATCTGATAACACACCTCTACTCGTGGTGTACTCACACAACACATTTAACCTAGTTCCCCAGCAACAGCACACGTCACCTGTGACACACCACGTGACTAACGCCCTAATCTCTCCCCACAGGTCCTGCTCATGGTGTCCATAGGGTGGGGCGTGGCCCTGCTCTGCTCCATCCCACTGCTCTACGTCTTTCACGTCCGGTTCGACCCCATCAAAAACCAGTTCCTGTGTGAGAACACCTTCAGGGGGAAGCAGCCCATACACCGGCAGGCCTTTCTGACCTACGCTGCGCTGGTCAACTTCGCCATCCCCCTCATCATCCTCTGTGTCTGCTACATCCGCATCTTCCTGAAGATCGCCCGCAAGGCTTCAGACAGCCGGACCTCCAAACGCCAGAGCTTCAAGCCCGGCAAGATCCACCTGACCAGCAACACCACCTCCGCCACGCTCCACTGCGCCAAGCTCAAAACCCTGCGCATGACCGTCGTCATCGTGTCGTGCTACATCGTCTGCGGCATGCCCTACTTCATCGCCGAAATGATCCTCTCCTACGGCAACGCGGCCATCTTGTCCACGGAAATCTACGGCATCCTGGGCGGCATCGCCGTGGCCAACTCAGCCGTGAACCCGTACATCTTCCTGTTGTTCAGCGTCAACAAGCAGTGCATCAGGAACCTCAAGCTCTGCCCGGCACAGACCGGACCCAACAAGCGACAGCTCATGTACAGCGGGAGCGTGCGATCGCGTGAGTACTCCTCTGCTGCCTACTCACGCACACCCGTGACGGCCGTGTCCACGGAGTCGTACGAGCTGAGCACGGCGGCCAACAAGGCCAACCGTGTTGCCGGCTACAACAGCCGCTGGTCAGAGAAACACGGACAGAGAAACAACATCTAGAGCGTGTTGTACCAGCCAATGGAGACGGAGATTCACATCACGTGACTCAATGCATAAAACATGCAACGTATTTAACATGAAACGACAAAAACATTTACAAATGTACGCGGTGGTTTGGTTAGATGCTATTGGACAATGACATCACGTGTTGCTGGTCATCAGCGGGTGATGTCTGTAGAGTTGGTGTCACGGTCCGTCACGGTCCGTCACAGTCCGTCACTGTTCTGATGTTGAGAGGTGTAGAAACATCGGATGTCTGGAGCTACCCTTCCCTGTGTAAGGGGGGGGGGGGTGGGAAGTCAGCCAACAGTGACAGGAATGTCTTTTGAAACCTGGACGGGCAACGCAAATCTTTATGTAAGACAGACACGGGCGATTATCGTTCTTGTTGTGACGGACCATACAATTAATCAAACTGTTGAAAGCTTGACACAGAAGGTCTAGTTTTGTAGTGTGAGTCGGTGGAGTTTTGACAACTCGTCACGTGAAAAATTCTCTTGACGAAAGTCGTTGAGCTAAGTAGCTGTGCTTCTAATGTTGCCAGGAACTTAAACAGCTGAGTTGGCTCGTGTCAGTTGTGGGTCAGCATATTACGTCATATTACGTCATATTACGTCATATTACGTCATATTACGTCAGTCATGACGTAGACCAGCTTGAGGAACAGTCTGAGTGGGGTGTTGTAGGGTAGGTTTTATGCCAGACTTAAACACCCGCTCTTGACTTGTTTAAGGCCATCTGGACACGCAAAAACAGGAGGACACGTGAGAGGTCAAGCTTGACCAATAGACACAAGTCTTATTTAGGCCACAATTGTCAATATTTGTTAAAACTGTTTTTTTTTGTTTATCGAAGACAATATACAAACACACACCTTTTGAACTATTTGACAAGAGTAAAAACAATAAACAGCGACGAAGATTTAAATTCTTTAATTTCACATTTTGATATTTGAAACCATTTGTATAACTCTCAAAGTAAACCATCGACTACAAACGTTTGCGCTAAACCGTGTTAAACCCTACCCAGGGTAGGTTCAACATTATAGTACGTACAGTCATTCACCGTCGGTGACATTCGGGAAATTCCGTTTCTAAATACACCATTGTCATGTTACATTCGGGAAATCCCGTTTCTAAATACACCATTGTCATGTTACATTCGGGAAATCCCGTTTCTAAATACACCATTGTGATGGGACATTCGGGAAATCCCGTTTCTAAATACACCATTGTCATGTGACATTCGGGAAATCCCGTTTCTAAATATACATTTGTCATGTGACATTCGTCTGATGTAGGTGTGTTGGTTTTCTTGTTCTTTGTTTGTATACCATGCAGCTATTTATTGTAAGAATAAAATGTGCTTCATTCAAATACATGTAGGGGCCTATAAATATATTGTAATTATGATTATTAATCACAGTCAAGTTAGTACAACTATATATTGTAAATAAATACAAACAAATTTCCTCATTCCACTACAGACATATTGAAAGTACTTGTCTCACAAGAGCTCAAGTTTCCAAACAATTCTTTCCTTATAAGGTTTTTTTTTCTCTTTAGTGCACATGTACGTGTGTGTGTGTGCGTCAGTCATTCGTCCATACGCCAGTACAGTGTGTGTTTGTGTATGTGTGTGTGTGTGTGTGTGTGAGTCAGTCATTCGTCCATACGCCAGTACAGTGTGTGTGTGTGTGTGTGCGTGCGTGCGTCAGTCATTTGTCCATACACCAGTTCAGACACCCAAGAGACCCTACTTGGTGGCTCCTAATTAAACCGTGGCCCCTAATTAAACCGTGGCCCCTAATTAAACCGTGGCCCAAATCACTGGGGTGGCCCAGGGGAGCAATGCGACAGTGAGTTCATGACGCCTAGACTAGTGTAGCTTTACACGCCGTGTATCCTTACACGCTGTGTGTCTTTACACGCTGTGTGTCTTTACACACTGTGTCTTTACATGCAGTGTATCTTTACCAGCTTTACACGCCGTGTATCCTTACACGCTGCGTGTCTTTACACACTGTGTCTTTACATGCCGTGTATCTTTACCAGCTTTACACGCTTATGGAACACAACAGCGACACACTGCTCATATGTCCCTAACATAACAGATACACAAATTGTCCATGACAGTTTCACATATACAAACGATTGCAAACTACTTTAATAACACATGTGTACATGTGCACACTGTATTCCGTAGCCTCCTCACATGTACACTATACTTTGTACACCTGTTCCTAGCTTGTACATAAACACACGTCAGTCATTAACATTTATACATGTACAGAGTATACATTACCGAAGACTAGCACGTACACAATAGCTGCACTACACAACAGCTGCACGCACACAACAGCTGCACGCACACAACAGCTGCACGCACACAACAGCTGCACGCACACAACAGCTTGTCACCTACACACAGTGTCCATCTGCCTCAATCACGTGCACATATTGTTTTTTCAGGCATTTCAGTTGCGGGGTGGGGTGGGGGGTATCCCCCTATAGCACCCCCCCCACCTATCCTTCTTCCACTCGCCCAGATGAAACAGTACTACCCCCAGCTCAGAAATTGTAGGTTTGCAATGAAACCCTGTGTACACATGCCTAAGACATGTACACCTGCCTAAGACATGTACACTAAGACATGTACACCTGCCTAAGACATGTACACTAAGACATGTACACCTGCCTAAGACATGTACACCTGCCTAAGACATGTACACTAAGGCATGTACACCTGTCTAAGACATGTGCACTAAGACATGTACACCTGCCTAAGACATGTACACCTGCCTAAGGCATGTGCACCTGCATAAGACATGTGCACTAAGACATGTACACCTGCATAAGACATGTACACTAAGACATGTACACCTGCCTAAGACATGTACACCTGCCTAAGGCATGTGCACCTGCATAAGACATGTACACTAAGACATGTACACCTGCATAAGACATGTGCACTAAGACATGTACACCTGCATAAGACATGTGCACTAAGACATGTACACCTGCATAAGACATGTGCACTAAGACATGTACACTAAGACATGTACACCTGCCTAAGACACGTTCACCTGCCTAAGACACGTACACCTGCCTAAGACATGTACACTAAGACATGTACACCTGCCTAAGACATGTACACTATAAAAATCAATTAAGTATTTGTGTCGATGGTTATCCTATTTCGTGTCCCAGTCCTCATTGTCCTACCTCTGTCCCCCATGTCCCATCTGTGTTCCCAATGTCCTGAATGTCCTGAATGTCCTATGCGATTGACAAACCCATAAGTGACAGAGTGATGCTGACAGTTTTGGTACAATGTTTAAAATTGATGTTTATATTTTTGTGATCAATATTCACTGTGACGTCACATCCGATACTGTGACTGCTTGTTATAAATATCTGTTATAAATATACACAATATGTCAAGTTACTCAATGTATGTCAATGTGGAGTATTATAATTTATGTAAAACATAATTAGTTTAGGAATGAATGTGTTTAATGTTTTATTTCAGTTTGAAATTCAAATGTTAGAGAATAAAGTGTGAATGATCAAACTCGTTTGCGTTCGTTGGTTCACTTTCCTCGTCGTTCAGTGGGCTTTATATTTTAAAAGTGATAGAAGTCATACCAGCTGACTCAGAAACTACCTCTAATATTTCCCTCACAATCTCCTTAACATTGCATCAAATTCTCCCTAACACTCCCTCACATTCTCCCTAACACTCCCTCACATTCTCCCTAACACTCCCTCACATTCTCCCTAACACTCCCTCACATTCTCCCTAACACTCCCTCACATTCTCCCTAACACTCCCTCACATTCCCCCTAACACTCCCTCACATTCTCCCTAACACTCCCTAACACTCCCTCACATTCTCCCTAACACTCCCTCACATTCCCCCTAACACTCCCTCATATTCTCCCTAACACTCCCTCACATTCTCCCTAACACTCCCTCACATTCTCCCTAACACTCCCTCACATTCTCCCTAACACTCCCTAACACTCCCTCTCATTCTCCCTAACACTCCCTCACATACTCTCACATTGCCCCCACATACCCCACACAAACTTATTAAACATGCTAACACACCTGCTAATTAAACCAAAATTAGCACCCGTCTACTCATAATGTGCCTGCAGCTTCAGAGATCAATGTAGACAGGTGAGATCATAAGAACAGTCCCAGAAATTGCTACTTTATTATTTTACTTTTCAAGGGAAGTAATTCATTGGTTGGAACGCAGTGCTAAAAATAACCAGTTACTTCCCATTAATAGAAAATTTGTCGCTGTCAGCTTACCATAACAAACAGGCTAATCTCTTCTATTATGCGATTGAGCTGTTCTTTTCTAGCCGGGGTTGTCCCACTTGTAGGCCAGGCACCACCACAAACGATGTTCTAGTCCCACCCACTAGTCGTGTGGCGCTCACTTGTCGAGGGGACAGACGTAGCAGACGTCTCCCCACGCTGTTAACTAGCAGACAATCTTCGCATTCTCCGGCCTTGTCATTCAACTTCTACGAACGTCGTGGTTTTTTAGATGTTAACCCAATGGACGTTCGTATTCGGCTGGGAAGTATTCAAGTTTATTTCTTCCCAGCATGCTTCATCTACCCTAATGTCTAGTCTACAACTACACACTATCCACTCCTGCCCAATAGAAAACTGCCTGTAAAATAAAAATCACGAGTTTACATTTTTGTTCACCAGTCTTCATTTTAAAAATGTTTTAAAATTAACATTCATATACAGCAGGGGTCTCCAAACTACGGCCCGCGGGCCGGATGCGGCCCGCGAGGTCCTCTTATCCGGCCCGCGGAGATCTTTTTGTCCACGGAAACAACGTTTGTTGGGGATGGCTGAGGAACTTTGCCTAGAAAAATCAAAGACATGCCAGGAAGAAACTGGCCCCCGAACTGAAATTTAATAGTTAATGCGGCCCTCTGATTGAAAAGTTTGGAGACCCCTGATATACA